TCTCTCTCTCTCTCTCTCTCTCTCTCTCTCTCTCTCTCTCTCTCTCTCTCTCTCTATCTATCTATCTATCTATCTATCTATCTATTCTCACGTAAGCCTTTTTGGCCACTGATCTTTTCCATAGGACTGTTTCTTTGCTGATTCAATATTAAACACAATTGATAAGTGTTTAATAAAATTCTGTGTTAGTTGGACCTTCATGAAATTCAAGCTAAAGAAGGGACCTTGTAGTGAAGGATGATAACAGTTGTTTCTAGATAAGTGCATCAAATATGCGAATTATTAGTGTTATCATGAACAATATGTTCCTACTGATGCCAAGTTCCTTATACTATTCTTGGTGTTTGCCTCTTCAATGAATATGTTGTGAGCATAGTGAAAAATTTTAGATTGTTTGTGTTGTTGATAATCCACCTTTTTATATTTTCATAACCTTGATCCTTGGGAATACATTGTATGGTACTTGATCTTTGAGTGTCAAATATTCCTTCCTTGACATCTTCAACATTCTTTAGGGACCTAAGGATACTTCTGAAAGTCTCGATGAGCATAGCACCTTCATAAATTGTTCTCTCCGTCTTATGTATCTTCTTCATCAGTTCTTTCTATGATTTGGTTTGATTTTTGAAAGATCAAATTCCATGCAGAGTAAAGATGTGATTTTCTCTTCCCATATTATATACATCAATTAGAAATCATGTTTCTGAACTATAATCAATGCCAATGACAGCTTTCAACTATGTGGAGAATTTATTGCCAATTAAAACTCTTGATTCTTCCCAACATTGCGAGGAAATAAAGTGAGCCATGCTGACTTGAAGGACATCCTTTTATAACCGCTGTGTCACATTAATGATGCATCTGACGTTTAAAAATAACTTATTTGACAATCTTATAGGAACCATAATTTGTACTAAATCATTCTATCAATCTATAGACAATCCATGTGCTGGTATGGTTCATGTTTATCAAGATTACTGTCCCTACTGCATAAGATTTTCAATTTTTAATAGGGCTATCAGTATTTTAGATAATTTCCCCACAAAAGTATGAATTGGACTTGTAAATTGGCACTATGATATAATATTGTGGGTAGGCTAATACATGGACCGACTGGCCTTAGTACCCAGGAAAATGGAGGTTCAACCAACAGCTCCTTCAACTGTGATTCCATGTGAATTACAACTATGATTCTATCTTCCGCTGGATAAATAAATAGAACATTTACATGATATCACCATCTTCTGAGGCAGTGAATAAAGATTAATGGGTGCCAAAGGACCTGATATCCTGTAACTCATAAACCTTATATTTTTCAGTTTTAGATCCTCAAAGCATGATCCATTAAGCTACTGAGTTGGATATGGCTATTCATCTCTATCCAATTTCTTATTAGATTCGAGATTAGTGTAACTGGATCCATATATTGAAATTGAGACCTTATAAGTATGTAACATTTGTGTTATATCTTTTTTACATAGTCCAATGGCATGATGATCGTTTGTGTCTTATATTTGGTAGAGAATGTGAACTAAGCAAGTCAGCTAGTAAAACTTTTGACAGTTTATCACATGATATTTGGTCTCAAATCTTGTCTTCGTTATAACCCTTTGAAAAAAAAACCTACTCCACTAATTAAAAATAATTTTATTTTTTTTATCAAATAAAATATAGTAAGATTCTTAATTTTGGTTTGTACTGGTGTATCGAGCCATGCTCAGTATGGTACACACTAAGATGTCCCGATGGTACACCATGGTGTATTGACTGTACACCCAGAAAGAGCTAAAAAATCTCAAAAAATATCTGGAGACAACGATTCAAAAATATCAAGGTATACTGATTGGTATGCCACGGTAATGGTCGAAATCCTCGATATACCGACTGATACACCTCGGTAACGATCGAAATCTAGGGCATACTGATTAGTACACTTAGGTAATGGTCGGATTTTGATCGTTATTGTACGGTACAGATCTCGTATCGCTCGATACACATCAAAATATTGGTACCACCCGGTAGAAAACTATCCGCATACTAGTATTCTCTCTGATTGATACGTACCACTTGTATCAAATGGTACATATCGAAATTGAGAACCCTGAAATTTAGTTTTGTAGAACAACCTAATCGAGCAGCTAACAAATAATCGATTTCATTTTCTGTTATCAAATAAAATATAGTTGGTGGAACAACTTGATATAGAAGCGGCTCCATTCAAACCAATGAACCTTGGATCAGGAGAAATCATCTCTCAAAATTGAAATAGTAATTAAATAAATTTTGGGATTAAGTCTGATATATGCATAGGAAACTTATTAGAGTTAGAATTTCAAAGCAGTTTGAAAAGCTTAGTTTGGACTTTTATATGGCATGTTTTGTTCATTTCTTCTAGAAAGGTTATCCTAGCTGCTCCATTCAGGAGTGATTATGTTGATCAAGCAATTGACTTATTTAACCAGATGCAACTACGTTGACTTAAGTTTTTTTCATAAATCTTACTTCTACCGGAACAAATGTATAATATTTGATTGTGGAAATAACCTCATTACTTGCAGGAGAAATACATAATATATTGATCCTCTCAAAGTCCTGCATCAACAAGAGCCTCGTGTATTAGACAATTATTTTTAATAAAACAATAATTATTTGTTAATACAAAAGCAATGATGATTATTTTAGCCATTAGTTAGCGGTTTCACAACATGTGATAAACCAAAATGCTTGGTGAGAAAATCGTGAAACTATATTGCTCATGACACCTATAATAGCATGTACAAGTCAGAAGGGTGGAGACAAAGGGACTAACAAAAAACTACTATCAAAAGAGATAACAATATTTCTATCAAAAAATTATATAATAAGTGACTTAGCATCCTTCAAAGTTATGTCAGGTTTTGATATAGTTAGCTACAAATAATTCTTGGCATCTTGATAGCCAAATATACTGTAGTTGCTGTGACAGCATTGGTATGAGTTTGCCATTCTTAATCATAGCTAAAATGAAATTTTACATGAAATGCAGAAAAATAATTGCTACTTTTCAGAATTTATAATCAAAATTTACCAAATCAACATATTGGATATAGGTATTAATTCAATTTATAATTAAGCAATGCAGACTATCTTGCTTTTGTTGTGAAATTATAGCAGACGTTTTTGAAGTATCATTTTCACCACCATTGCATCTTCTCAGACTTGTTATGCACACAATATTTTGGTAAATCCTCATGTTAGATGGATATTGTCGAGATAGCTTTGGCTGGAAAGATTGTAGGATTTCGAGTGATTAACTATCATCCACAATTTGTCCTGTTAAAATAAATCTAGTTAACTAGGAAAGCTATTGTCATCAAGGATTTGAATTTTGGATCGATGCCAGCATCATAACTTATTGGACCTACTATCTCATATCATCCAACATTATTGAATAAATTAATTACAAAATAAATGATTTGCACTGTATGAGTCTCGAGTTACATATTTCAATTTCAATGCTTGATTGGTGAAGGCCTTGATCATGATATCATTTCTTTTCCTAGGTGGCACTAGGTACCAAGGAGTCTTCAGATTTTGTTTCTTAAGTGCTATTGAAACCATTGGCAGACTTTTTTTTCTTGTTTAATGGAGAATAGCATTTACATGCCTCTGAAAAAAAAATGTGGTCATAAAATCTGCTGTAATTTATCAGAGGCTATTGAGATAGATTTTTTTTTCGAAATGCAAAGAATTTTTCCAAGCTTTTCCATTGGACAGTATCTGATAGATAAACTAAAAGTATTCAGATCTCCATTTGTTATTTCTATTAAAGTTTTCTTGTGTCTGCTTTTATCTCTTATTGCAATAATAATCCTAACTGATTCATCACATCCATCAACAAATCTATAATTCTCCTTAGTATAATTTAGTGAAACCTTCTGAAACCAACCTAAGATGCAGTCAGTGGAACTATGAGTTTTGGTAGTGGAATTGGATTGCTTAAACTAAACTATTGAATTATGAATTATGGGCATATATATGAGGTCAATGATATGATATATATACATATATATATATGTATATATATATATATATATATGTATATATACATGTATATATGTATGTTTATATATGTATATATGTGTATACACACACACACACACATATATATATATATGTATATGTATATGTATATGTATATGTATATATATATGTATATGTATATGTATATGTATATGTATATGTATATGTATATGTATATGTATATATATATGTATATGTATATATATAAAAGTAGGACATGACAGGGCATGAATACAAAATTAGCACATATACAAGTTTTTGTATAATTACTATGAATTACTTCCATATAGACTCATTTAACTTTTACAAGAATGATTTTCCAATTGTGAAGTGTATTATTTATCATTGATTCAGTATTCTCCATATCTTTACTCTCCCAGTTCTGTAGCAAAGGGTGACGTGCTTTTATCTTTTCTTGATTTCTGTAGCATGCGAGATACTATTGAGCGCTATCAAGCACATGCGAAACAATGTAACAGCAGCAGTGCCATAGAACATGAGAATCAGGTATGTTTCTTTTGCAATAAACTTACAGGTTTTATCTTAATTTCTAGCAGCAGCAGTGCCATAGAACACGAGAATCAAGTATGTTTCTTTTGCCATAAACTTACAGGTTTTATCTTAATTTCTAGCTTTAGAGTGGCACACAGTCTGTTTGGATGAAGGCATCTTCTTCTATTCAGGAAAGAATTTACGAGTCGATTTAGGGATAAAGAGAGAACAAACCTTTTTTTACTGGGAAAGCTCTAAATGAACAATCTTTGAACACAGATTTCATGATTCAATTTGGAAGATGATCTTAGACATTCGTGATCTTGAGAATTGTGCATTCAAAGAAGTCCTTATGACACTGCATTCTTCTGGGTCTTCAGGCGTTTTGTAATCGTTCCACATATGACAGTTTGTCTTCCCGGCGTTGGACAGAAAAGGGAAACAGTGCAAACTAGAGAGAGAGAGAGAGAGTTATATCTGATCCATCTTCAAGCCCATTATTTTCGTAATTTGAGTGATATTTAAAGAAAGAAAAAAGGTTCCAAGTGATCTTTTCCATCTTATTTTTATCCAAACAAGGACAGGGAAATTGCTTTTCTGAAAGAAATTTCTTCTCTTCTCTATTATGCTCCTCGTGTTCTCTGCTTCTGGATTTTGACAAACAGAACGCAATTGTGGGTCTTTATCTGGCAAAGTAGGTAATATGACTGACTTTTGTCAAGAAAATTAAAAAAAAGAGTTAGTTATGTGGTCAAGCAAGGTGTTTTACTTTCAATAAGTTGTCAAGTGCACTTGAAACCATGATGGTATCATGACAGTGGGATTTCGTCCGTTAGACATTGCAGAAGAGATCCAATTTTTATCTACAAAAGTAATATTGGTAATTAGTTAAATATATGGTTTCTGACAGGATTGTTTCTGAATTACGTTCTTTATGAAATGAATTCTTGATAGAATTCACATTCAGAAATGGTTTAACCACAATGAAGTGTTAAATTAAAATGGCTTTTCGGCCCATTATTCTACAATTCGCAATTGTTTCTCTATATAATTCTTAAACTTAATTGTTCTAATTGAAGCCATCAAGACAAGAAGCTGCAAGCTTGTTTACGAAGATTGAACATCTTGAAGCCTCTAAAAGGTAAGATTAGGTTTTTTCTTTCTGATATTAAGATTTAACATCTTGCTTGCTACTTTAATTTTGAGGAGTTTGGGATTTTTTAAGTCCAATTATATGCTGTAGGAAGATCTTAGGTGAGAATTTGGAGTCATCTTCCATTGAAGAACTGGGTGAATTGGAGATCAAGCTAGAACAAAGCCTACGCAAAATTAGAGGAAAGAAGGCAAGTCGCCGGACAATCTTAATTTTCTTCTGAAAACATAGATAAACTGAACTGTTTTTACATGATTTATTTTTAGTATCAATTGCTAGAGGAGGAGCTCGTGCAGCTTCAACAGAAGGTAGCTAGCTTCAATTCTGCCCAATGATACAAAAGCCATCTATCTTTTTCTACTATAATTTGATCATCAACTTATCTTATATGTTGTAATTAAACACAGGAGAACACCCTAGCGGAGGAGAACACATTACTACGAGAAAAGGTATGCCAATTTACCATCATTTATGATTCTGATTACATTGGTCCAATGACATAACTTTTTGTGGATCATGTTATTGCAGTACCAGTCTGAATAAAGTGTACCGATACTTAAATTTGTTAAAAGCATTTCCAGGGTTTGACAATATTGACTGACATAACATGGTTGATGTTTGAAATGCAAGTTACAACATAAGCTACCATCTGCTGCTTCCAAGGAAGTTGTTCCATACGACATATCTGGTGAATATGCCGAGGTTGAGACAGAGCTTTGCATTGGATGTCCAGGAAGAGGAAGGAGAAGCGGCACATTGCAACGTTGATTGCTGATTGCTAATGCCTTTCGCCCGTGCAAGTTGTAGATATAGCAGTATATGTTCTGGTGGCTACAGACAATAAGTGACTGTCGTTCCCCAAAGAAAAGCGAAGGAAAGAAAAGACGACCGGGGGGACAGATTGAATAAATTCGAAGAAGAAAAGATGATGAGGATTGGTCGTAAGATTTTTTTTTTTTTTTGGTAGAGATTAAGCTACATTTCCACAGCCACCTTTCCAATGTAATCATGGTTCATTCCCGGGTACTATCAATTTAGTGAAGGGAAGCGTCAGATGACGAACTAAGACGACTTACTTGAATAGCAGCTCAAGCAATTGAAGCTTTAGACTCCACCATGCAAGTAGCAGTTCGACTTGTAGCTGTAAGACTGGAAGGTCGATATGCTTCAGACAGCAAACTCGTGTCATTGCATTCACCATGAAGGATGGTGATGGTAGCAGCGATGCATCACCACGTTTTGCAGAGCGAGCAGCGTAGATACACACGACCTGTATCACAAGAACAGCAGAGCAGGGAAACAGCTCTCTCTTGCAGGTTATATTATGCCGAAGAAGGCACTCTTTTCTGCATCGAGAATGATGGTCGAAAGAGAGCCGTCGACAATCATACTCTCTTCCTATACTCTCTAGTTAGTGAAGAGGATAAATACTTTTCTGTACTGAGTAGGAAGAAACTCACCTTCCAACTCTTATTTATCATCCTTCGGAGCAGGTTCAAGCCGCCCGCCACCCGTTGTTGCCGGCGGTGGAGCGGCTGTCCTCACGCGACTGACTGAAAACCACACTGGTCGCCACTCCCTGCTGCCGTGGTTCCTCACCAGTGGAACGTCTTTGCAGTGCGCTGCTGACTTGTCGCCATCCACGGATTATCCCACCGCACGATCGTGCACACGTGTCGACCGACATAGCCTTCACTGTCTAGTGGATGCCGACCGCGACCGACAAGCGCTGTAGTGGCACTGCTACAGTTGCCCGTACGCAACAACGTTGTGTAGCTGCTGCAGGATTGCTGCACCGCACGATCGTTCCATTGGGTATGCAGCTGCTCCGCATGGCTCATCGCCCTTAATAATATTATTACCGATAACAAATTATTTATAGTGATCCATTAATCAAATACGAGAAATCTTATATCACTCATAAATAGATAGGTGATAAGATGGACTGAATAAAAAAATAGATTGATAATATAAATAAATCGTTCAAGCATCATAAATTAAAACTGAATAACATTTTTTTACGAGCTAAATACACTAACAAAAAAAATATAAAGTATTTGATTTCAAACATAATTTTAGTACTAATTGTAAGCATAAAAATCATGCTTATGCATATGTTATATAAAAAATTTTAATATCAAAATATAAAATTAAATAATAATAGATCAAATTTACGATGCATACCTTTCAATGTCATTCAGAAAATTTTTATCTGATCTACGAGTGTATCATCATCGAATCCAAAAGTTATAACGATATTGATATATAAAAAGAATTAGATTCAGATTCTTCTCTCTTCTTATCTTACATAACATCGTTATAAACGATGGATTGGAAATAAAGGGGAGATGAGAGAGTACTTATAATCTCTCAATAATATCGTATATCTTTGAATTATCTTATTTGTATATCCGCATATTTACGTACTTGTCATTAGTCCCTAAGATGTTATTTTTTTTTATAAGCGAGAGAGAAGATCTAGGATAAATAATTATAAGAGAATTTTTTTCTATCAAAATCATCTCTTGGGGAATCATACTATAATTGGAATTCATTTTTATTGGTCGATAATGCTTGAATCCAATCGTATCCATAATATATCTTAACTAATTAGAAAAATCATATAATCTAATATAAGATTCTTACACATTATACATTTTCACATATTTACTTCTCAATCAAGCGTAGGATCAATTATACGAATCAAAATTTCTTCTTGTATTTTTTAAGGTATACGGTCATCAGTAGCTAAATCAATCCTACGATTGGAGTTGGATTAAGCAACAGTGTAGGTAGCCAAACGTTCGCTCTATATAACATTATCCATCATGGGTATAAAACAGAACTATAGTAACAAGGTGGCAATATCTCTAGTTTAGTTGCTCCCACAATACATTGAAATATGGGGTTCTGCGAACACTACTATTGGGAACTTCTAACACTGTTGGGCTTTGTTAATTGGTCCGGCTATTTGGCACCTCTCGTCCTGCCATCTTCTTGCTTGAGCACATCAGGTGGCACCGACGGGTGGAACTTAACCTTCTTTTCCTTTGCTTGATCTTTTTAATCGGATTAGAGTACCCATTATCCAGGTTTATAATGTCTACGTATAGGAGAATAGGCATCCTATATTTGTAATGGATTCTGATACCCGGATAGTTAATTGGATTTAGAGAGAGAGAGAGAGATTATATAGATTCCATGTGGTGTCAGTTTATGGGCCTTAGATGGGCCGTAATGAGCCTCTACCACAAACATAAAGGGTATATGAAAGATACTTTTCCATCACGTTGGCAGCCAAGGAAGTTTCCCGGAAGCTACTCGCAAGACTTGACTCACGAAGCGGTGCTCCCAAGTCAAGTCAACGTAGTGGAAGGGGTACCGCACCGCCCAATCATTAATGCCCCAGCGAGCGCTCAACGTCAACCTCGCTGCGTGTCTTCGTCCATCCCTAGGAATGGCCGGGAGCGCCGTGCCGCAAACAAGTCGGTCTGTGTACCCTACAAGTTGTCCCTCGCCGTGCCCACGACTTGCTCGTCTCCGTCTCCTCCTCCACCATGCATGTACAACCATTCCTTGATTTGAAATACATAAACTAATAGATGACACGGCTCCACTTGCTCTCGACTGGTGAACGCACGTCGGATGTCGAGCTCCACTGCGAAGCAGCAGATGAGGCGGAGGTGACGAAGAGGCGCCACCTCCACCGCACAAGGAGGCGAACCGATGTGCTTCGTAGAAGAAGGTATTGGTTGCACGTTTAGGTGCGCGACAAGCGTAGACTGATGATCAGCACGAAACGAAAAGAAAGGGAAATCGGAGTCCACGTGACGTGCGTTTAACAACGAGCCCGTCTGCGACGGCAAACGAGTTGACTTGACTTGACTTGACCTCCATATTTCGTTGGTGCAATATGATTTCGGCATTGGATTCTTTTCCAGTGCCCTTTGTGACGCATGCTTTATGTTCATCGGCCACGTAGCAAGTAATTTCATTTCCTCAAATCATACTTGAAAAGAGGATCATTAGAAGCTAATTAATTGAGTTTGATTCTCGATCGTTTATAAATAACATAATGAACGATATAGAATTCTTAAATATATCTCGAATTGTAGGATAATATCTATATATTTGTATGAAATATGATTGATTGATTATACATGCATTATTCGATCAATCTAAAATTCCACACATCAATAAATACACACTGTTCCAAACACGTATAAACAAATCCACTGAATCTCCACCATATATGTCTCTGTCATGTATTTAGAGACTTATCCCACGCCACAACGACCGGCCAATTAATTGATCGGTTGTCTTTCTCAATCGCTCTGCCCGAATTATTAACCTCTCACTTGTGTGACGATATGGTATTAAAAATCTTATTATATAATTCAAATCGAATTTTACTTCTATTAATGGTAGAATATATAAATTAAGCAGAAGAAATTCTTTTATATATAAAATAAATAAATAACAAAAACCATATCATAACTGTAGCTGAGACTGACTAATCCCATTCCACAAACCTGAAGGAACAAAATTACACCTCATTAGTACATATCAAGCCACACTACATAGAAAAAAAACCACACTTAGACATAAAATGAGTTGACTTTTAATGTATTATTTGTGGAGAAGACAAAAAAGGCAGTGAGTGGTGAGATGAAGGACAGAATGTTGCGTTGCATGGTGGTGAAGACACGAAATCGTGTCGTGGCCTTTATTTATTTGGTCGTCATTTATTTTCTGGAGTCAACATCTCCAGATGCTGGTCTTCACCCAGTTTTCTTGTTTTACCTTAAACTCGGAACTATAGAGAGGAATTTACAGTGGGATATATATATTCTCCAATATATATCGCCCTTCCCTCTGCCACTCTCTCGCCCTCTTGGGCCTGAGAACCGTCCCATGGCCGACCGGCTCCTCTCCACTGTCCCTCACCACCACAGCCTCCCGGAAAACTACATCCGGCCGGAATCTCAAAGGCCTCGCCTCGCCGAAGTCATCAGCGACGCCCACGTCCCCGCCGTCGATCTGAGCTCACCCGATAAGTCTCATGTGATCGCTCAAATCGCCGACGCCTGCCGATCGTACGGCTTCTTCCAGGTGTCTTTCCGTGAGCAGGCAACGTAAGGTACTTCTTCTATGTTGGACCCCGTGTTACTGGCTTGTGGTCTTTATAGGTGTTGAACCATGGAGTGCCAGTTGAGCTGATGGTGAAGATGATGGTGATCGCTCTGGAATTCTTCCGCCTCCCTCCGGAAGAGAAGGCGAAGCACTACTCGGATGACCCGGCCAGGAAGATGAGGCTGTCAACAAGCTTTAACATCCGGAAGGAGACGGTCCATAATTGGAGAGACTATCTTCGTCTCCATTGCTACCCTCTGGAGGACTACGTGCCCGAGTGGCCTTCCAATCCTTCTTCATTCAAGTGAGAACTAAGCTCCCCTCCTCCTGCATGCTCTTCCTCTCTTCTTCCCCCTCGCTTTGCATGGTGAACCATGTCAGCAAAGGATTTCTTAGCTACATGGTGCCAAACAAGACCTGTTTCACCTAGTAACCTATCTAGCTTGAAGGTCTTATTTATCCTTTCTTTTCTCCTTTCGAGAAAAGCAATAATAGTCTCAGATGTTCATCTGCAGCTAAAAGCAGCGAGTTTTGAACCCTCATATATGCCATTAGCAACCTATTTTGAGGAAGCGGTATGCGGCCATTAGCTCTTGATATATAATATAATCTTTGTGTGCAAACCTCTCCTTATGTGTCAGTCTTGTAGGAGAGATTGTGTAGAATCCTTAACTATTCTTTATCTTGAATATTATTCCCGATAAAAAGCAAGAACGAACCATGGTTACAAGTCTTCTATGAGGAACCTTTGTATCATCTACATCATGATTCTGATTCTGATAGAATGCACATTGTCATTGACATGACATGCTTTGATAATCTAACAAAAGGACATCAGACTATATAGTACTTTTAATAGTGGACATGACCGACGTCGGGCTTATCGAGATAAATTAAATCGTGTTGGAATATATGTCCTAATCTGATGTATCTGCACAAACTGTGAAGATGGACTATTGCGGCATCTTGCGAGGAATTTGATGTGCTTGGCTTTGTCAGGGAAGTGGCCAGCGCTTACTGTAAGGAAGTCCGTCAACTAGGTTTTCGGCTCCTGGGAGCAATATCTCTAAGCTTAGGGCTGGAGGAGAAGTACATGGAAGAGGTTCTGGGGGAGCAAGAACAACACATGGCCGTCAACTACTATCCCAAGTGCCCTCAGCCGCAGCTCACATATGGTCTGCCACCCCACACGGATCCCAATGCTCTCACAATTCTGCTTCAGGATCCCGACGTCTCTGGCTTGCAGGTTCTCAAACACGGCCAATGGATCGCGGTGCATCCCCAACCCCACGCCTTCGTCATCAACATCGGCGACCAGCTGCAGGTGACAGCGCCTCCCTCATCCTCTCTTGCACTTCTATTTTTAGTTTTTGAATTACATAAATGAAAGAAGAGATCATATAAATGCAATTTTTCTTAAATAGTAACCATTTTTAAAATA